AACCACCCCTTTCAGGGTGTTAAAACATTTTTGGGACACCCTGTATAGTCGATAAAATGATACGTATACCTTTACTTTAAAATAAAAACCAAAAATAAAACAACATGCATATTTACGTAAATACAATTAAAATAAAGAACATTCTGTCCACCTATCTTTCTTACACCGTGAATCGTATAAAATATAAATACCGTTTATAAAGTGTTGCGAAGTGAGCTATTGTTTTAGAGGTTCTCACGTATCAGTTGAGCTCTTCTGGGAGTTCAGAACCATTCAGAACCCCTGGTATGTCGTAAACAACGAAGGTGGCTTATGGTTGACTGTTCTATTCTGTTCTGTTAGTTTCGTTAAAATGATCTACGTTACTTTTTAAATCCACAATCCCCAATTTTGCTCAATGAAGAAGTAAACTGATTTTAAAATAATGGCTCAAGCGAAGCTTAATTCGCAAGACAAAGCAGATTGCACACTTAAAGACAAAGAAAAGGAGTCTGACGAAAAGGAAGGTATATACATATTTCACGCAATTATTTTAGAAATGTGTGAGTCGCACAAATCAAATCTTACGGACCATTTTATTACCAATAAGTAATTTGGTACTCTCTCGATAATATTTCGTTCGAATTTTTAATTTATGTCACTGCTGAAAGAAGTGATTTTTGTTGTTACATCACATGCATTATTTACACTTGACTGGATCCTCACTTACTGTAACATATATAAAACGTGAAGAAGATTTATTTAATCTTTATTAAAACAATGAGAATAATAGTGATGTAATTGATTATTCTTTTTCATTAGGGTCAACAACTGTACCAGAATGTGCAGTCTGTCTTCAACCATGTATATACCCTGCAAAATTACCTTGCAATCATGTATATTGTTACCTATGTGTCAAAGGTGTTGCGAATCAAAGCAAAAGATGTCCTATGTGTCGTCAAGAAATTCCACCTGATTTTCTTGACAGACCACAGTTGGTAGATGTAGATGAAGCACAAAAGGAATCAGAACATTCTGAGGAGGAATACCAGTGGTTTTATGAAGGCAGAAATGGTAAAGTATCCTTTTTTATATAAACAAAGATAAATGAATATATATGCATTTCATGAATAGTCCTTCAATACATCTGTGGGCAATATTGATAAGCTCATTTGAACTGAATATTTATTTATAATTAATGATTAAATAACACAATTTATCCATGTCATTTTTGTGTTATCTCTTAAGTGATATACTTGCTGGATACAAAATACTAAATAGGTTTTTTCTCCAGGATAGTGACCTATTGGTCATAAGATTGTATTGACTGATTCTGAGTTAGGTTTATTTTTAGTTTTTGTCACGAACTTTTAGTTTTTCATTCTTTGAAAAATTTCTTCTTAAAAATTATTTTTATTGTTATGTAGACTAAATTTTTTACGTTTTTGTAGATTCAATCCTAAATCATATTTGTGCCATAGTATATTCAAATCCTACTGTGTATTACTGATAAAAACTATATAGTTTTTGCTTATCAGTATAATACCATAGAATTTGTTCCTTGCACTCAATACTGCTTTTTCTTTCTTGAGTGTCTCTTATCTTGTGATACTCAAACCTTTGAAGTTTTAATCCTTTGAATACCATGGGATGATCTTCGCATAGGAACCAAGTGTCAACAGATCTGCCCATAGCATTCAAAGAGTTAACACCCAAACAGAACCTCTCCAGTCTAACTCTGAATTGTTGACACTATAAAGTAAATTTGACCACCTAGACTCGCTACAATTTTTATGAGATCATTTATATATGTTCCAGCAATTATACATATTGTATATGTATATCATATACAAGAATATGCAGACATAACATTTTCTAAAGTATTATTAATATAGTATGCTACATTTATTGTAAATAATAAATAAATTTCATTTTATTAATATATTAAAAATAATAAATAGATAACTTCATTATCAATTGAAAAGATGTGATGAAGTATAGAAGTTTATATCCTACCCCTTCATAGGTTGGTGGAAATATGATTCAAGGACCAGCAGGGATTTGGAGACTATTTACAACCTTGGTAGCATCCAATGTGAACTTTTAATTTGTGGCATGCTTTATATAGTTGACTTTAAAAATAAATGCCAATACAGAAAATATAAACCACGTTATAAACGTAACATCAAGCGCGATAAACCAGATGCACCCTGTAAAGGTGTTTCAGGAATACATTAATTTGTATTCGTGTTTTTCAAACTTCTACAAATATGATTGGCATACAGTATTCTTGACTGCATTTATAATTTGCATGAAAATTCATAAAACTATGTATACTTTTATATAAAACTGCATATAAAGTTCCATGTAAAATATTGTATTACATAAAAATTATAAGACTCACTATTATAAAAATTAAAATTTAGTTTTAATGTATATTTCTAATAAAACTTCTGTATTGCAGAACATAAGTTATTTTTCTTTACGAACTCCCCAACTAAGATGCTTTCAATGTTTGTAGTTTATATTTTGTTAAACTTTTTTTATTATAGGAAATATAACTCCTGTGATTTTGAATTATGTTGTTACAGGTTGGTGGCAATATGATCAACGCACAAGCCATGAATTAGAAACAGCATATAAACAAGGCAAACGGAATTGTGAATTATTAATCGCAGGATTTCTTTATATTGCTGATTTTGGTTCCATGCTTCAGTTACGTAGAAACGATCCTTCTAGACGCAGAAGAATTAAACGTGACTTATACAATGTTCCCAAAAAAGGAGTTGCAGGTTTAAGATTAAATAATCAAGATGAAGAAATCATCAGAGAAATAAGGGGAGCGGAAAGACCAGCTAGTCCTGCAAGTGACAATATGGGTACAATGTTTAAAACGATGCCCAAGATTTCTAAAATATCTGTTTATCAGTGTTAATTACTTGAATAATATAATTTTATATGCGTAGGTACAGGTGATGGAACAAATACCCCAGTACCACCAAGTAATACTCCACAAACCCCAGCAGGTGGCACAGCAAGTGGCGATGCTACTCCTCTAAATGATAGACTGGAACAAAGATCAGAGTCTTTACATCAGGTATTAGAGCAAATGCGTTCTTTAGTGCTCAGGGAACATTTATCTTTGAGTACAGATAACGAATTAGAAGAAACTGCGGAAAGTGAATCACTTTCCACTCATCCTACATTATGAGTACAAACATTTAACAATTCCTATTCATTAGAAGTTCGTTTTTGAAAACTTTAATATTATTAAAGTTAATGTGGCATCTTATTAAATGAAAAATATAAAATTCGTGTACATGTTTAAGGATATAGAACACTCATATATGTGATGTACTAACATGTAATCGGTACATCGCCATGTGGTGTTTATTAAAAACAAATCAATTAAATACAATTAAGTCTTTCATATTTAAACGAATAAATATTTTGAGCGTTCACGTGCATATTGTGAATTATCAAGCTTTAGAAATGTTCAATTAGTATCTAATAGTTTCATATATTGTCATCTTACGAAATGTTCTACCAAGGGGAAATTTGTATCGTTCCATACAGTTTTTATACTGTAGTAGTGATACTTCTTAATTCTGATGTAATTTTTTCAACTATTAGAAATGATATAACTTGTAATTGTAAGTGGCTGAGGATAATTAAGAGTTTCATGAACAAATGATAATACCTTTTATTTATAAATGAAGTATAACACATTGGGAACTTTAACAATACTTCTATTCTTATATATATAACAGATGTACTGTCATTTTTCTTGTATTTGTTATAATCAATGGGATCTAAATTGATGCAGAGAGCAAAGTATCGTGCTCGGATGTTCACCTGTCGATTTATTAACAGTATTATTGAAGGTCATCTTCGTGTTTCTTTCTGATTTATCAATTTTATCATAATAATAATAATAATAATTGCATTGATATTGCCAATAATTTAATTGAACATTATTTTTGTTTAAGTAGTTTTCAAGCATTTGATGTAAAATTGTTACCATGATTGAAAATAATACATAAAGTAAAGAATGACTAAGTTTAAGGAATTCTCTACACCTATTATTGTAAAAGATATATTGTCTTTAAGTGTGTTATGTAAGTACTTTATTTATGTTGAATTTTAGTTCTTGGGGTACATAAGATAAGCTAAATCATGTATTTTATTATGGCTCATATAGTGGCACATCTCGAAATATTTATATTTAACATTTGTTTTTGAAAGTAAAAATTTAGAAACTGGAAAGATTTATAGTTAAAAAGATCTTAAATTTTGATTATTGTTTGTAAAAAATATTTTTCTATCAATTGTTTAACATTTTTTATTATCAATATTTATTAAATCAATACCTACTTAATATTAGTTACATATTTAATGTATTGTGGTTTCTCTCATATTAGTTATAATCAATACCAACATAATTAATTTTTAATATAATATCATAAATACAATATACGTACTATTTAGGAATGAAAGATTCTAAACATCTCTAATAAGAAATTGCCAAAAAACTTCTTCAAGATTTTCATCAAAACCCTTTGAATATTGTTATGAACAAATAAATATATCATAGATAAATAGAATTCATTTTATCTCATAAAATCGCTTGGAATATGACTAACACTACCTACAAAAGATATTTTGCTAGCTTTGAACAATGTTTTAAATCTTGAAAGAGTTTAATTTTTGACAAAGTATATAATGTGAAGAAACATAGCAGGTACTTTCTTTTGTCATCGTGAAATACTGTAATGGTTGTTAAAAATTAAAAGTATATGCTTTTATTAAATAATTGTGATTTACTTCCAGTTGTATATACAAAAATTTTGTATTAAATTGATATTTAAAGCATCCTTTGTTTCATTAACATTTTAAGCTTTTGTTCTTTAATTAATAGGCTGAACTTTGTCTCAGAGGCCCACTTTTTTTTTGTTAAAACTTATCAAATCTTGTAGTTTTTGACCTGAAAAGTCTGAAAATGTAAGTTAAAAATTTAGGAATCCAGTAGTTTAAAAGATACGAGTACATAATTTTGTTGAGATTTCGACGAGAATTTGAAATAATCATGGTGTCCAGATCTCGATATCGCAAGGTCTCGTGCGCATCACTACCGACCTAGGAATACTTGGGAATACCCAACTAGGACGAAACGGAAGTCTAGGATCAACCAGGATCAACTAGAATGACCATGTGCGTAAATGATGGGAATAGAAACATAGACAGCGCCACCATCGACCCAGTGATCCGCGAACCGAATCTGGCATCTCTGCGAGCCTCACCGATGAACTCATTTGATAGATCCGATACGAAAGACTATAATATTGCTTCTTATACTAGAAATGTTTCTCACGAGACTAAGAATTGTCTTTTTAAATATATTAGAGGTATCTAATTGTTAGTGACGCGGATCTCTCGGACTCTGAAAAGCTTTATTATGGCTCATATAGTAGCACATCTCGAAATATTTATATTTAACATTTGTTTTCGAAAGTAAAAATTTAGAAACTGGAAAGATTTATAGTTAAAAAGATCCTAAATTTTGATTATTGTTTGTAAAAAATATTTTTCTATCAATTGTTTAACACTATTAAACTATTCAATTACATTCAGTATACCATATAGTATTTGTAATGATATTAGTTAACTAAGTAGTAATGGATTTTATTGAATTATTTGTAATATATATTTAAAAAGTGTTAAAATACATCCACATTTCGTCTTACTTATATAGAACAAAATGCACATGTGACTACAGTAATGCATAATAAATTTAATTTTCGCGCCACCAAAACATGTCAAAAGTGTAGTCAAAGAAACTTCCATGTGGTATTAAAAAGCCGGTCAACCGTTGGATTTCAAAGCTATTTACGAAAGAGAAATTTTGACAAAGAATATTAACGTTCATTGGTTATCAGTGAAATTAATTAGAAGTAATGTGTTTGAAATACTATTTGTAAAGTTTGTATAACTTGTAGACTTCTAGTTGCAACATTGACATACATTTTTTCGTACGTAATATCATACAAAGAATATCGTTTTACGTACCAATGTACTTTCAGTCGCAATTGTGGTCATTTATAAATGTATGTTAATGTTATAAACAGAAAAACGTTACTGTTGATAGAAAAACTTTGATGAAAATTGTTATTATAAGTGTTTTGAACTAAATTCAAAAGATCGAATGATTCTTTGTTATCAAAGCATGGAATAAGTACATGATGTCTTGATACAATATGGTAAAAATAAAAAAAATTGTTTAAAGCAATAATTACTAAATCGAAAGAAACAAAAAGTAATGTAGTCGAGAAAAAGTATTTTAAGTTAGAACGGTCGAAACCGCATGACCTTCCGGTCGCATTACTCGGTAACTCTCAGTTAAGGTGGCCCAGTTTCGGTTAACGGTTAGGTTTAAGTAAAAATACTTTCGCATTATTTAACAAACTTTGGTATTTCAGATTGTACGAAATTAGTGTATGAAACAAAAGTTAGTGCTTCATATAAGAAGACATAAGACTGTAAAACGTCATGAGTATGCAACAAAGCACTGAATTGATCATCTTTGTGACCCATGTCGAAGCAGAAGATTCGCTCCTCAAAATATGGGGTCAAGTTGACAAAAATTCAGCGACATGTATAGAGCGTATGATTTTACCCTTGGGTGAACAATTTGCTCGAAGTCAGGGTTGTATAGATGCACGGACCAGTAACCTACGTATAAATGCACTTTGCTGTGCTCGATTTCAAAATGAGGGATATTATCGGGCCAGAGTAATTAATATACGTGCCGATGGTATGGTAGTTCTACAGTTTATTGATTATGGTAATATTGAAGTGTTGCCACCTCAAGAGATTCACTTGATAGAAAATATACCTGGTTCAGAATCTCTACAATCATTTCCACCTGTGGCATTTGAATTCACATTGATGAATGTATTACCTGTAAATGGTATCTGGGAGAACAAAATAATTGAATCGATTAAGAAATCTTTATGTTACAATGAATATAAAATATTAATTTGCGCAGTGATTAATAATCATCGTTTTATTAAACTGTGGTATAATAATGAAAATTTCAGTGATTTGCTAATTGACAGACATATGGCAGTAAGAGCTACAGTACCAGATATGTTTAGGTATTTATTTTTTTTTTCTTATCAGCAAATACTTTATGTATACTACAGTAAAGTACTATTTGATTGCAATGTTTTTAATTTTATTTTCACAATTGTTGTTCTTATGAAGCATTCTGAGCAGACATAATGAATGTTATACTTGTATTGCTATATTTGTAGTTTTAAAATTATTTTTGTACATGCAAGATCTATAAAATGAAGGAAAACATTGATTTTAAGAGAAATAAACAGTTAAACGACTTATTGTTATAAAGAATCTTAATGTTTTAACCAATAAAGAATATGATTTAGCATATTAATTTTAATAACAAAATCAAATTTAAATGATGGGAAATTATGAGAATATAATTTTCCTATTATAGTATAAAAAAAGCATCTACACTAAGAATAAATATTAAAATATTGTCCTGTAAATTTATTACTCTTCTTTATTATTTACTTAGTTGGAAACGTGAAATATTATACTTGATACAATGGAACAGACCTATATATATGAACATTGTGTGCTCTGTAACTGGTTAGCAGCTCCACCTTGTATATGTTATTTCTGTATTGTATATAAGCACACAATATTCACAAATATAGGTCTGTTCAACACATGTTCTATACCTTTGTATAGAAAATATATATACGTAAAATATACGTCTCTTTGAATATAGTCAATGTAGTCATACTTTGGGTACTTGGCATTATTGACTTTAATCAACATATATTGAGAAAGTTAATTATTATCATTTACTAATGCTTGGATATATTTTTGTAGGCTAAAATGTGTGCAGCAACCTCAAATGCCAATTTATCAGCAATCAAGCAAACACCTCATTAGCAATAACTGTACTCCGGTTGCTCCTGTCCAAAATCCGAACTCATTACACTGTGAAGAAAGTGATATTCACAGATATCAACGAAATGTTCCTTTATATTGTACAGCTCAACAAAAACACTTGATGCAAACACCTATGCAAGAAGCTCTTGTATTTAAATCGCGTGTTTTGGATGTACCATCTGAACACGAAGTCTATGTTTCTTTTGTAGAAGATGGTCCACAAAAGTTTTCTGTACAACTTCAGAGTACATCTCAAGTATTAAGTATGCTTATGAAAGAAATTAACAGTCATCCAATACAACCACTGCAAGAACCTCCTTTACCGGGATCAGTATGCTTAGGCCGTTACACTCAAGATAAGGTGTTATGTAGAGCTGTTGTGATGTCTGTAATGGAAAATAAGTGTAAACTTTATTATGTTGATTTTGGTCATACAGAAGTGTTACCATATGCTGATATTTTCCAATTACCATCTCATTTTATTAATCCTAAAGTACTTTCTATACGATTCACACTAAGCGGTGTACACGAGTTAAACGTTACAGATGAAATGAAAAAATATTTTAAGCAAATAGTGTCAGGAAAATTGCTTGGATTACATGTTCGTCCACCAGAAGGACCACCATTGGTTCAATATGGAGATTTATACGATGACGGAAAGAATATAAAGAATATTCTTCGACAAGCATTTCCAACACCAGTTACAGTAACACCTATGACTTCATCATTTGGATATGAAGAATCAAAACAGTTGTCAAGAGGAGTTGAAGAAATAGTTCATGTTTCATTCGTGGAATCTTGCAGAAAATTTTTTGTACAACTGGATAGTAACAGTACATCTCTTGAATCAATAATGAATTGCCTAGCAAAATTCTGTCAAAATGCGCCTATTTTAAATCTAGCTCAACTAAAAATTGGACTTCCTTGTGCTGCTTTATATGATAATCAATGGTAAGTTGTATAGTGTGATAACATATATAAACACGTCCATTAATACTTTGTTCTATCCAGAAAGCATTGATTCTGATTATGTTTAGAATAATAAACTTATTACTTTCATATTATATCATTATTAGGTACCGAGCACAGATACTTGGCATAAATGCAAATAATGTGAAGGTCTTATATGTAGACTATGGTAA